GGTGTTCCCAACAGGAGCGGGACGCCAGACACATACACACACAGGCACACAACACACCACCCACCCACCCACACACACGCACACACAGAACATTTACGAAGAGACTTATTCATGAGCTGGAGTGGCTCACCAGTCATTACTCAGACAGGAGCTGTCTCAATAAAGGCAAATAAGCTTTGCTGATTTATTTTGGACACTTAGGCACATCAAACATGGAGGCGGCAGGGAAGCCAACGATAATGGACTTTTTGCTCATGGAACATTTGGCTATAAATCCATTTTCATTTTCATATTACTATCGCTGTGCTCTCCCAGTAAAGCTTTGCATGTGGTATGCTGTATTTAACTTAATCCATGTGGTATTGTTGAACCAGTCAACACCCAAGAAAGCATTACAAGAAAGAATACAAAATAAGATTTTATTTGTATTTTTTTAAAGAATTAATGGGCATGATGAACACAAACAAGATTTAAGCCTCTGTCAGAAATTTGTGTCCTGTGAAATGAGTTAACTGTAAAATATATCAGCCATGACTAAATAGAAAATGTAATGATGATTAAACAAGTTCTGGATCTGGATAAGAGCAGTGACTCACAGCGGACAAATAAACATTTTTGTCATGTGTAGTTGCTCATCATTTGCACCTTTCTCCTCCTTCAAATCTGTCATTCCCTTTCTCACTCTGTTTGACTATATCGTTTTTGAATTATGTATTCATATATTCTTTTTGGTTGTCTGTGGTAACTTTGTCACATGCTTAATAAGTGCATAATTTTTCTTAACAATTACATTAAACCATTGTCCCATGCATACCCTACCATTCAAAATCTAGGGTCAGTAATATCTTTTTTTTTTATTAATATTTTTATTTAGCAGGAATGCAGTAAATTGATTTAAAGTAAAAGTAAAAACATTTTTAATGATACAAATGATTTCTATTCAAAATAATTGCTGTTCTTTTGAACTCTATTAATCAAAAAATCCTGAAAAATTGTTAAAAATATTATTAAATAATTATAGACATTTTAGATGATATGGCAAGTTACTTTGTCGTTTTTTGCTCCGTAACAGAAATAGTTTCAAGAGAAGCCACTGTAAAATGAACTGTTGTCTCTGAGCAACACACAGTAGTGGTGTTTCATTACTGAATGAAGCAGTGTTGATTCCAATCACTTGCACATAAAGACAGTTATTTGTCTCCATTTACTGGCATAACCATGCACCCAAAGAGAGACAATAGATTGTGAATATAGTCAAAATTGAAAGGGCTGCAGTACCTTTAGCTGTGACTATATTCTACAAGCCAGATTTAGCTCATTTCTTTTATAAAAATATTAAGCACACTTTTTAAGCAAATTCATTATTATTGTGATGTAGGCATTATGGTTCTACTCAGTATGTTAGGCACATGTGCCTAAGATTTATCTCACTGGCTCAAGGAGAAAGACTTCTGAAAGTTGAATTTTTGAGGACATTGACAATCACTTTTATAAAGTGATCAAGTACCTTTGAAGTTGGGAAGGAATGAATAATGCAATAAAGGTATTTCAAGGCAATCATTCACAAGTAGCTGTCAGGATCTTTTGATGTGACATATTTCTGTATTAAACTTAAGCATTCTGAGTACTAGGTCCGCACAGATTACACTGATGCTTTTTTATAGAGTGTTCAAACAACTCAAGAGGATGATAACAGTTTTCTTTTCTTTTTCTCTTTCTACGAGCAAAAACAGTTGGCTACTGATCAGTCCTTTTTATCAAGAGTTACACTGTTTTGTGGTGGCTAACGGAAACAAAAAACAAACAAACAAACAAACAAACAAACAATTAAAAAACAGCTTGTATATACTAATCACAAAAACAAAAGGTGTTAATGAAAATTATGAAACCCAAGCAGAATCCCAAACAAGCAAAGTCATGGAAGCAAACTTTTTGTCAGTTTTACTAGAGAATATTATTTCTGGACATTAGTGTTGCTTGTTTGGTCCACCATGTAATCTAAAAAATATTTAAAAGAAAATTTTCTGCATCGGTTTTGCACACAAAATATAAAAAATAGTCATACATTTATTTTTTTATTTTTTATTTTTTAATTTTTTTATATGAGTGGTTTCCCAATTATGCCTTGTATATTATATTGGATCTTTCACAGTTTATCAGAGACAAATTTCATATTTTAAAGGGGTCATATGATGCTATTTTAAAGATCATTATTTTGTGTATTTGGTGTAACAGAATATGTTGACATGCTTTAATGTTCAAAAAACACATTATTTTTCAAATACTGTACATTATTGTTTTGGCAGCTTCTGTAATGATGCGCTAATGTTCTTCTGAATACATTTTAATGCAAGTCACCATAGTTGAGCTATATCTGATCTGTTAGCCTTACATTTACTTTTAACAGACATAACATGCTCAGTCTTACTAATATCCCTACTCCTATTACTCTTTGCTTTTTTTTTTTGACAGAAGGATGACCTCAAGCTATTCAAATTCAATTACACCATAAATCATCCATCAAAGGGCACAAAAGGCAAAAGAGAAGAACTACAATGAAAGCTGATGCAATGCCAGGTCCTTGAATGTACCTCTGTAATTCAATTACTGTTTTTCTAGAAGTACAGTTTAAATTCAGAGCAGCTGTGCAGATGCTACTGTACTGACTCCTGATTGATGAATATTATCATGAAAGCACTGACCCCTCTTCAGGAATATAGGTAGTTGTTTTCAGATGCCAGCCGTCATGTTTTTATTCATTCATACACTGCATAGGGTTTTTTTTTTTTAATATATTTTTATGGAGATTACTGGGGAGAATCTCCATTTGTATGTACCAATTGGAAATATTAGCTATATTTAATTTGGGTACAGAAGTCATGTAACATTTACATCTCAATGACTGAAAACCACCATTATAAAACTGATAGTTCCGGTCCGTGATTTACAGTGAATTTATCCGCTTCGCGTCGTGCCTAACAACGCCCCTTAGCTGTTATAAATTCACTGTAAACCACGGCTTCTTGGGGCTTATTGCTTTATTTTAAAATTCCCTGATATTTCTATATATATTGCTATTGCATGTCAACATATTCTGTTACACCAAATACACAAAATAATGATCTTTAAAATAGCATATATGATATTTGCTAATGTAATGGTAAAGTGTGTGATTTTGTTGATATAAAAAAAATGTCATTTGTGGGTCAGTTCACGCAACAAATGTAAATAAACACTGTTGATCAGTGTGGCACTATTGTAACTTAGTTTGCTCTGTTTTTTTCGAGAATCACAAAACAGCATCCTGGAATCAATCAATTGCGTGATTTGGGGAGGGACTATCGGTTTGTCTGACCAATGGGAGACTAGGTAGGCCTGAAACTTATTTGAGAATCATTTTGCAATTCTGTTCGGTGATGCTAGTGGTACAGAAACTACAGCTCCACCACTATAACACGTTCATGTTTTCACATTATAGTTTTGGTTGTAAAGATAGGAAGCCAGGGAGAAAAATAAAGGAAAAACTTTACTAATATACTGCACTCTCCGAGTGATACACAGAGACAAACTGGCTTTTTCTCTTCACCCACAGCCCTTGAAAAGGTTTTTTTTTTCATTAAAAATGTGCACTACTTAAACTTTTTGGATTTCTGTAGTCCTTTGTAATCATGTCCTCCGTCGAAACCGATAACAACAAAAACCCTCTCTTCAGAATCAAATTGTTTCCTTACCCCTTTATGAGCTCTACTTCATGCTTTGTGCACTAATATTGTTATCCCAAAAAGTAATTTCCTACCTCAGGCCATTAGTTCAGGGTCGCTAAATGCATGGTTGTTAACATCCAAGGCACTACACATGCAGGTGCTCATAGCCGTGTGTTGCTCATCAGGCCAGTTTCTGCTCCAGCAGCTGAATAATCACTTCTGCATGAGCTGTTCACATATAGCACCATGGCAACATCAGCTATTAAAGAAACTGCAAATCTCTATTCTAGATTTCAGCATTATTCTGTGAGCTCGAAACTACACGATTTCGTAGAAGATCAACAAGACATGCTTCAAAAACCAAACATGCTTTACATCCAGTGACATTATGGCTTAAATGGTATGATTGATTGATTGATTGGTTTTGAACTGAAATGATAAATCTTTGTTAGTTTGGGCAAAACTGAAACAGAGTAGATTATCTACTTGAAATATAATCAATCATTTATTCCAAGTTTTACATAAATTATAAGTATGTTACACAGACGTGTAAGTTCTGAGTCTATTGTCATATATTTGAAGGGTTTTCAGGGACACAGACAGAACCGTAAAAACAATGGAAGCACGAGAAAAAATAAAGCAATCAAAACAAAGCCTGAGCATTACAGAACCACAAAACCTGAACACATTTCAGCACAGAAACTTTAAATATGAAGAATGCAACAAGCTTTTGCACATACAGCACAAAAAAGTGTGACTGAGGAATCACACAGATGTGATTCATACAAACAGTAAACAATTATCAATTTTAATACAATACTGTCCAGAATCTGTTATATCGATGAAAAGCACCTCAAAATAGTTGTTTCTGCTTTAGATCTAGAAGGGGTAATTATAGCAATCACAAAATAACCAAACAAAAGTTTAACAAATAGTCTTTTTTATTTCAAAATTCCCTGCCTCAAATATATAAACTTGATTTTCTAACCAAGGCTCTGTATGTACAGGGTTGAACATCTTTGAATTGGATACGTCTTTTAAGAGATTGAGGTATAGTGTCAAGAAATTCAATCTGACATCAAGTTACTTTTCATCAAGTTTCTTTAGCATTGTAGAGTCACTGATTACCACAGCATCATTGCTACCACTTGAGAACAAAAGAAAACTAGTGGAAGACCATTAATCCTTCACTATTTTAGACACGCCCATATATTACTGGACAAAAAAAAAGGAAACTTCAAGTGCTTAAATTGGTCAATATTTACAAAATGGATACTTTATAATTACAAATCTGGATGGTTTGAAATGCTTGTTTTATTTTATAGTTGGCAGGGACACTTGATTGATTGACATCTTGTGAAGAAATCTGTTGCACTGTTGGTTTTCAAACATGAAAACAACAACAACAACAACAAAATTCTAGAGAAAATACTCTTGATAGTTATCAATATTTCATCAAATCAATTTTGACGCACATGCAAGATTTAAAGGCAATCATTAAAGAACAGTATTGTACAAAATAATAATTACAGTTTTACCAAAAAAATGCACTTTCAATAGCACCTTAAGTGTTTGGGTGTTTACAACAAGAGCACACCACTGTGGTTGTCTTGCTCAGAGCAGCACCTGGAGGAGGATCTGTAATGGATACAGGGAAAACGGGAAGGAACGGGATTGGGAATTAATTGGATTGGAGCTTGGGGAAGGACTGGGATCAGGAGTAAATGGTGCTGGGATTAAGGATGGAATGGGACAAAAAACAAGGCTTAAGAGTTCAATTGGAGAAAAAAAAAAAAAAAAACATGTTTGGAAAATTGGTAAAGGAATGGGTCCTCCTCCTTCTCCTGAAAGTGCGCCATTGTCCACCAGGTAGTTCGTGTCCTCTTTCTGGTTTATTCCAATTGCAGGCTTCAGTCGTTCGATGAATATTCCATTTCCGATTACACAGTGCGGGTGCTGGTGTGTGTGTTTGTGGCGCAAGGAGGGGGTCTGTTTGGCTGGCCACACTCCTTGACCTTTGCCATAAAGGTAAGAGGGGGTGTCCTTTAGCCGAGGAAGCAGACAGGGCCTACCTCAAAGCCAAACCTTTGACTGGATTCCCCAAAGTCATTCAACATGACATCGATGATAGGCACCTGGTCGATGCGAGGAGTATTAATTTCCATCACAGACTTAGAATATCCCTGCTTCAGCTGAAAGAGAAAGAGATGAATTGTGTTATAAACTGTTTAAGCAGAATTATACAACTGTTAGTTCTGATCATCTAATTTGATTGGACAAGCGGCAAGTTTCACTGGGGTTTCACAGTTTGTATGACTTGTTACTGTTAATGACAACTATTAAAAATAAGTTACATTAATAGAAATAAAACTGAAATAAAATAAAATATAAATATTAGATGAATAACCTAAAACTTGGCAACTTATTCAAAATAAGTACTAAAACTATTAAAACTAAAAAAAAAAAAAAAATTATTATAATAAATCGAAGTAAAAAAATGTGTAAAAATATAAAAATAAATGGTGAAATATGAATAAATACTATGTGAAGAGTGAAGAGAATATTCAATACAAACATTATTTTTGCTGTGATAATGTGATGTTGCTTTATTAAAATACAGTATGAATATACAATATGTGATCCTGAACCACAAAACCAGTCTTAAGTCGCTGGGGTATATTTGTAGCAATAGCCAAAAATACACTGTATGGGTCAAAATGATCGATTTTTCTTTTATGCCAAAAATCATTAGGATATTAAGTAAAGATCATGTTCCATGAAGATATTTTGTACATTTCCTACCGTAAATATATAAAAACTTAATTTTTGATTAATAATATGCATTGCTAAGGACTTCATTTGGACAGTTTTAAAGGTGATTTTCTCAATATATATATATATTTTTTGCACTCTCAGATTCCAGATTTTCAAATAGTTGTATCTCGGCCAAATATTGTCCTATCATAACAAACCATACATCAATGGAAAGCTTATTTATGCAGCTTTCAGGTGATGTATACATCTCATTTTCGAAAAATTGACCCTTATGACTGGTTTTGTGGTCCAGGGTCATATATATCAGTACATATTGGATATTAGAGTTTATTTATTTTTTTAAAATAAATATATTGGTACCTGCCAATATTAGATGTTTAATTGTACAGCTCATTTCCTCTATTTTTACATTTAGATCACCTTTGCCCTCATCTAATGTTCACTTTAATCAAGTTAATCTTTAATTTCTTCCAAGTTAGTCTTTAAAAGTACACATTTTTAAAGTAGTTAAATGTAATTAAAATATCTCAAAATGAATACCCACTTTTTCCTACTTTACGTTAAAATGTTGTGATGCCAAAATTCACTTATAGCATTTAAAGCAACTTATTTTATTTACTTTTTTGTACATATAGTTTCATTTATTTAGGCAAAATGCAGAATTTTAATATCTGCCAATTGTAACATTGTAGCATCCCTAATATACAGTACAGTATAACCAGCAGACCTAACAACAGCACTCTCACCGAGCAGCCATCTGAAAGAACCTTGATGAAGGGGTTGTTGTCATACGACATTTCCTCATCATTAGAGCCCAGGAAGCGCAGCGCCTTGTCATAGTTGTCAGCCTTGGCGTCATACCAGGCCACAGACTGATGGCAAATGTATGTGAAGTTCTGCCGGGCAGAAGAGCTGAGCAACTTGAGGAACGTCATCTGGACTGAGGTTATTGAGCTCTCCTCAACATCCACATAAGACAACTGAGACACAGGGAATAGATGGGTCAAACATCTGGCCTAAAGAAGAACTTTCAAAAACTTTTCAAAGTATTGCAGGGATGGAAATCGTTAGGAATTGAATGGTTCTCGTTCCTTGATCTAGTTTACAATTCTTTTAGTACTTTTGAGAAAGAACCTTTTAATAATTAGTCTGTACATAAAAATACTAAGACTGGTTTAGTAAGCGATTTAAAATTAAAACCATTTTTCCCCACCAGCCCTAAACTACTGTCACTCTTCAAGCAATAGAGACATTCATGACCAAATTGCTGAGCTATGATTCAAAGCTTATGAAGTTTATAATGTAAGAGAAAAATGGACACTTACAATTTTTCCACGCTTAAATTCACTGAACCAAGATCCCGGGGACTCCTTTGGCCAGTTTGATATTCTAACCTGGAACAAATGGAAACTGTGATCAAATGATACCCCAAGATAATACAATTCTTTATTTTTGATTTATATTACTACCAATCATGAGATTTAGCAGAGATGAGTTCCTCTCACCCCTGAGGACTTTTTATCGGGGTAAATGCAAGTTTCTCCTCCTGCAGTGAAGTTACAATACACTTTGAAGGCATCTCCCATGCATCCCATATTTGGATCGATCCAGTAATGTCCTGCAGTCAAAAACATGAATGTTAAAATTCTCTTTTTTTGCCCCAGATAAAGAGAGAAGTAACTCTCCAGATCTCTCTTCATCTCTATCTGTTTTATCTTCGATTATGAACTCTTGTTTACCTTGGACAGACTTAACTGACTCTTAACTGCCTTATCTATGCTAAAGTAACTTTCTCTCACCATCAGGGAAGTCTGGCTGGCTGAGCTGCAGGTCTTTGCAGGTTCTGGCTGGGTTATCCTGGGTCCCCAGTGGGAACTTCATGCGTTCAATGTCCTGCTTGAGGGTGTTGAGGGATCCAAACACATCCTCCATTCCCTCCATACCATAATCCATCATTCCCGCTGCTTCGTCATCTTGCATGTCAGGTGACCTCCGCGATTTTTTACTTGTCTGGATGGGGAGGGACTGAATGATGTCACCAGCTGGGCCCTAGTGATAGAAAATCAAAAAGAAATCACTGACAATTCTGTAGGGTCGGCTTCATTCCCATTGGAGACATAAGCATGTCAATTTGATTTTCAGCACAGCTCTCAAGACAATCTGATTTATTTTCATGCAATATAAGATTTTTTCTTACAGGAGGACCTGGTGGTCCTATCAGGCCAGGGTCTCCCTTCTGGCCAGCTGAACCCTGGGGAAACAGAAAACACTCTTCATTTAAACTGGAACAAAAAAAATGAACCACCTCAATAACCATGTGCAATGGAGAGGTTCAGCACTTACAGTTGATCCTTTGGATCCTTTCTGTCCTTGTGTTCCCTGAAGATAGAGACAACGAGGAAGTCAATTAAGCAAATGTTATGGTGGTTAAATGTCATGTTTACATGCACAATGCATTAACTCGACTGTCACGACCAGAATAAGATTCCTGAAATCTGAATTTTGGGTCATGCACAGCACTTTTCTTTTAATGAATGTAAAAACATTCATATAATTAAAAAAAGAGATCATGAAAAAAAATCATGAAATTATTACATTACTGACCAAAATAATTAAAATTCAGTGGAATAAATGGCAAGAGTGGGCGAGCATCTTCAGGTTTGCCGAAAGAGAATAGTTGACTTTGAACTATAGCAGCTTAATGATAACATATTGCGGAATATTCCTAATAGCTGTGGAGCATATAAATGTCTTTACAGAAAAAAAAGGTTTGACCAGAAAATAGAGTAAAAAAAAAACTGCTTACAGGAATACCAGGAGGACCTGGGGGACCGAGGGGACCAGAAGCACCAATGAGACCCTGCAGTCAATAAAACAATTCATATTTTCCAGTGCAAAACCAAAACATATTCTTAAATAACAGCATCTATGAGGAGCAGACAAAAGCACACCCAGATTCTGAACTGACTCAGGTGTATGTAAAGAGCACACATCACTCACAGCATCACCCTTGCCTCCACCAAGTCCCTGAGGTCCTTGCAGTCCTCGGTCACCCTTCTCTCCTTGCTCACCGGGAGGACCGATCAGACCAATCAGACCTGGATGACCCTGAACGAGTGAAACAAGTGGAACAATGGCATGCATTTTTCAGTAAAAGAACCGATGCAAATCTCAATGTAAAGGCTGAAATGGCAAACAATTTATTTTATCATGTATTAAATAGAAGTTATTGTTCTGGATCTTTTGCTACCACAGTCCACAGTGTGTGCAATATAAATCTTATTTAAGGCGCAGAATCTGAGAGGTGCTCAAGTGCTTTAGTTTCTATTCAACACCTGATATTTACAGCCACAGCTACTGTACTTGCCTCTCCAGAATATTAATACTTCACATCTCAGCAGGTCTCCTCTCATAAAACAGATTTACAGATGTATACTGCATTGATTATGTATCGCAGGCAGAGTAACAGTTTAATTATTGTCTGACACTGTATTTAATCTACAGCACTAAGAGCTTGTTTATACCTTGTCATTATGTGAAATAGAGATGCCAGTGAGGCCTGTTGCTCTCACATCTTAAACTTTCAACTGAGCTCAGCATAATTGTAAATATACATAGACAGATTTAGGAAAGGAATATTTAAAGTGTAGAACCTCCTTGGAGACGTTTATGGCATATATATATATATAATTTATGTTTTTAAAATTTCTTAAGCTCAAAAAGGCAGAATGTTGAGTTTAAGAGAGCAATATTGTGATATATTACTGCAATCTAAATTTAAAAGAACTGTTTTCTATTTGAATATATTTTAAAATGTATTTTATTTATGTGATGGCAAAGCTGAATTTTCTTCAGACATCTTAGAGTCATATGGTCCTTCAGAAAACAATTTAATATGCTGATCTGGTAAAATAGACACACACACACACACACACACACACACTTACATACAATATATATATATATATATATATATATATATATATATATATATATATATATAACACACACACATGGATATCACAACATTTTCTTAATAAAATGATCTATTGACATGTTCCATTTGCCGTCTTTATTTTTGTGCTTTGGAAAAAGTACTAGTTAAATACTAGTTAAAACATACCTTCTCACCCTTAGTACCAGGGTCACCTTTCAAGCCAGGAAGACCAGGAGGACCCTAGAATGTCAAGACATAAATGTCACAGATGTCTTTATGCAAAAAACAAACAAACAAACTAAAAGAAATATACAAGTGACATTCATTAGTTTAAATGAACAACATAATGGTGCCTCATTGTGTCTTCTTACCAATGGTCCAGGAGGACCGTCTTGACCAGCAGCTCCAGGAAGTCCCTGCTCACCCTGAGAGGGAAGACAGAAACCAGAAGCCCATTAATACATACTATAACAGCAAAAATGAATGCACGACACATATACTCAAATCTACTGACTAGACAAGGAGAGTGATTCTTGTGTACTATTCTGCTCAGTTAATATAATTACGCAGCAATTTGAACTATATCAGAGTTTCCAAATGCATACCACAGGCCCCGGGATGCCACGTAAGCCTTCAGCTCCAGACTTTCCAGGAGGCCCCATGGCTTGGGCAGGCATCCAGGTATTTAGCATTACTGTCCACACATTTGTGAACACTATTAATATGATTATTCAGACAAATAGTAATTTGTGAAAGACTTAATGATGGTATTGTTTTCTCAGCATGGGAATGAACACAACACAAGTTTGAAATATGTTTCCCAGAAGTTCATGATCAATATGGGTGTGCACATTTAGATTCAAGACACACAGAAGGCCGAGGCCACTTAAAGTTGTAAGTAAGGCGGGTGAAAATGGAAAGCCCTGAAATGCATTTTTATTGCTACTAACAGCTCTGCTGATACGAGAAAATTTAATTTTTCAGACTAAAAGTCTGACTTGGTCACATATTGAAAACAGTCTTCATTTCTTTCCTGACATGTATATGGCAATAAAACTCACTTTTAGAAAGCAACTGAAATGAAATTCTCTCTGAAGTTATGAGTCAGCTACTGAAAATTAAAAGTTTTCTGTGGTAAATAGATCAGAAGTTGTGTTAGAGCTAAAAGTGTAATCAATTGTAAGCAAAGTCTTGAGGATGGCAACAGAGCTGACAATGACAACTTAATTTCCTTTCGGCTATCACATTGCCGTCACAGTGCTGTCAATCATCCCACTTTGGTCAATATTCTATAATAGAACTGTCTAAATGTCAGCCTCAGCTCAACTGCTCTTAAGCAATGCAAACTGATGTGAGAAGCCCATTTTTTCCCAAACAGGTTTTATGTTATGCTGAGATTTCACAGGAATGTCTTTTCCCAAGCAAAGCGTGCACTCTTTACTCACTTGGGAACAATTTACTGAGGGAGGACCCAGTAAACTCCTGACTGTGCTCTGCTTTTAAAGATTTATTGTTTGTGCAGTTCAGATCTGTTAAAAATAAATGTGACCCATAAAATATAGGCTACTTTTAGCATGAAGTTACAAGGGAAGCTCATAAACCTATTTGAAAATGTGTGTCTCAGCAGATTATAGAAGGAACAACAAAGGGGTAATGCAAACAAGTACATTCTTACGTTTTTTTAAAAGAACGAAAAGTGTTACACACCAAACATTTGGTACTTACAGTGGGGATGTTCATATATCTAACACTAAGTCTGAGCTGTTGGTTTAATAAGTTAGTTTACTACAATGATGCTACTAGTTTAACTAGATTTCTTTTCAGTAGCTTGACAGTAGAGATGCTATTTTTAAAATAGTGTAGAATTTTTATAATTTTTCAACCAAGTAGCATAGTGGCATGAAATGCTACATTGATTTGCTTAAAATATGAACTGCGATGTCCGACTGAACAAAGTATTCACTCTTTAGAAACAAACAGTCCAACAACGCTGATACAAGAGCATGCGGTTCTTTCAGATGTACATGAAAAATGCAAAAAACGAAAAACGTTTGTAACTATATCTACAGTCGGATCTCTGCACATTTTCTTTTAGAATCACCATTAGTCCATAACATATTGTACCTGTTTCATGGCACATCATAAAATAAATGTTTTAAAAATGTCTGCATTTCTAGATATAACCAGTCGCCCAACAATTGTCGGTCCACAGTTGTACTCCTGTAGGCATAACACATCTGAAATAATAGATCACCACCAGACAAATCACCTATTTTCTACATTTTTTCTAATATTTCTAATATTTGGGCAGATACTTGGTACAGAGCATTTAAATTTAAAAGCATATTTTGTATTTTTAAAAAAAATATGTAATCAAATCAAATACAAATAACTATGAATAAGAAAGTGTCCCTTTAAGTAGCTTAAAAGTAGTTATCTACTTTTTATTAGTAACTTGCAATGTAACTAACTTTTCAGATTGGTAGTTAATTGTCTGTAGTTAAACTGTTTTAAAATTATGAGTAGCTTCTAACTTGGAAAGCTTTAACACTTTTAAAGTATCTTATCCAACACTGAACCAAATGAACAAAATGCCCGGTGAACAAAAGTACTCACTCGCTTTCCAGGGGGTCCTGGAGGACCAGCTTCACCAGATGGACCAGGTGGACCCTGTGATGTAAAAATTCAATGCATTACTAGCAAGTTTCATTATGTTTGAACATAAAATATGATTTTCAGTGAAAGTCGACCATCACTCACAGGCTGACCGGCCTCTCCATCATCTCCCTTGTCTCCGGGAAGGCCATCCAGTCCCTGTGTGAAACAGAACATTACATCACAACATTACCATAATATTTCATTTCCATCAAGCATCATATTATAGTTTCCTCACAACATTTGTTTAATACGCTGGACATTAAGCCTGTAACTAACGACTATTTTGACAACTTGTTGATTACTTATTTGATTGATCTTCTACACCTTACGCAATGTTTTTCTTTAAACAATGTGCAATGAAGCCTGTAATATATGCTGAACACTGTGTGCAAAGAAAGGTTGTTTGAGTGGAAACCTGGGCGCATTAAACTACATGACTTTCTTTGAAATGTTTATATATAAAGTGCTTTGGAAAAGTGTTGCACACTTTTTCCCCTCGCTCTATTGCTTCCAGCATTTTAAAATGCATTTGTTCCCCACAGAAATAGTTATTTTACTGACGCAAAGCGAATGAATTCGCCTCCATAGTGAACTTACACCTGCTCCGGGCTCACCAGGAGGACCTGGATCTCCAGGGAAGCCAATAGGACCCTAAATTACAAAAGAAATGATGGATCAATTCAGTCATCATCAGTTCAGTATTATTTCAGTCTAATAGCTGAAGGGTGCTTTCTGGGATGTCACTGATGGTGACTTACTGGGTTTCCTTTGGGTCCGTCATCTCCAGGGGGTCCTCTTGCACCAGCGGGTCCTGCAGCTCCAGGAGGGCCAGCTTCCCCTTTCTCTCCAAGCTCACCTTTGGGTCCCTATGGAAGGACACAACAACCATCAACATCCTGCTTTCATCCATCTATGATGATTATGCTAAACAAAATTAACTATGTAATTCAAAGCTGATGCTTTGTTGTTTTCAAGCCCCGAAATGGAGATTTACTGTAAATATGTTGGCTAAAAAGACATTATAATGGTTACTTATTGCTTAGTGGTTGCTAGGCCATTTTGGATGGTTGCACCATTCACGATTGAATAGCATTTCTGAATTTCAATTGAGGTAGCCAACAGGGTGAACTGCATTTCAAATTTGAATTTAAAAAAAGTAGACTTAAACTGAACTGAAGTTCATATCACTGCAACAAGTATAACATCATAACATCATAAGTGTAAAAAAAGGTTGTCAAAACTAACGTTGAATGTAAACTCCTAATGCAAGCAGAAAGCTACTATCCTCTTTAGTCTCAAAAAGCATTGAGACCAACAGACAAACATCAGCATTTAAGATGCTGATATCACATAAACAGGTTTGTGCAGCAGGCCGTGGTTGAAATAATGTCCCTGGGTGAAAAAGGATGATGATAGCAGCAACCATCTGGAATGCAAGTGATGTTCACCTCAGCATATACGAGAGAGAGGAAAATATTCACATGGCCATTCTAAAGCAGAGGGAGGTAAAATAATCAACTGCAAAGGACTGTAGCAGCCTTCACCTGCCTGTGCTAATAACACGTGGTACTCTTGTGAATGCAGAGTGGAGAATGATACGGAAGAGAAGAATTCTTGAATAAAGTCGTTTTTTTGTTTTCTTTGTGCACAAAAAGTATTCTTGTAGCTTCATAAAATTATGGTTGTAACACTGATGTCACATGGACTATTTTATCGATGTCCTTACTATCTTTCTGGTCCTTGAACGTGGTAGTTCGCTGTCTATGTGCAGAGTGGAGAATGATACGGAAGAGAAGAATTCTTGAATAAAGTCGTTTTTTTGTTTTCTTTGTGCACAAAAAGTATTCTTGTAGCTTCATAAAATTATGGTTGTAACACTGATGTCACATGGACTATTTTATCGATGTCCTTACTATCTTTCTGGTCCTTGAACGTGGTAGTTCCGTTGCTGTCTATGCAGGGTCAGAAAACTCTTGGATTTCATCAAAATAGCTTAATTTGTGTTCCGAAGATGAACGAAGGTCTTACGGGTTTGGAACGACATGAGGGTATTGAGTATGAGGGTATCAGTATTTAATGACGGAATTTTCATTTTTGGGTGAACTATCCCTTTAGAGGTCATTAGCTTTATGTGTTCCGAGTTAAAAACAAGGAATTGTGTAGTTATGCTCCTTGAATGTCAATAGATTAGCCTCAATTACACGCAGGCCAGATACGTCTGGTAAACACTCATAAAACCAGACTCAACGACTCTTAAACACAAACAAATACTTACTACTGAACCAGATTCTCCTGGTGGTCCTGGATTACCTGCCTCACCAGTCTCACCCTGAGGGGAAGAGATGAAGTTTTACCTAGTCTTGATTACACTGTAACATCTATACACATTCATCATAATAACTACAATACATATTTGTGTACTTTCACGTTTTTACAGAGATTTATTTGAGAAATACCCACCTTTTCACCATTTCCACCCATTGCGCCGATACCTCCGGGAGGGCCAGGAGCACCCTGTCAATCAAATAACAATACTGTTGATTCAAATCTTTCTGATGGAGTTTCTATACAACTATGGCACAGTTAAACTCACATCCGCTCCACTAGGACCTTGAGGACCTCTGGGACCAGGAGGACCAGGTGGACCCTGTAAGAAAAAAAAAAACACCAGCTTGTCAAACAATTAAGATACTAAACTCTGGAAGATTCAACGGATGCATTCAAACCAAATGTTGGTTAATCATTCTGACCTATTTATTACAAGAATCTGCACATCTTTTGTTTGTGAATCAGTGGCACTAGCACTAATAATATGAAGGTGTGGTCACATTAGTGAAATTTCTCCAAAATCACAGGCAAAAAAGGTTGACTGTCCAATGTCAATATTGTAGCAATGCATGAAGCAGAAGTCGTCATTTTTTTGTTGGTCAATGTGGTGAATTTGCACAAACAACTTGAACACGAGTGAATTCCATGAGTTTCCATGAATTCCAACTGAAATGACTAGATTCCACAAGAAAATTGTTTAACAAGCAACAGTAGACGTGACTGCACCTTACCACAAAATAAAGATATACAGTGCATTTGCAAACTTTTGTTGTAATTGTTTTTTGTTTTTTTTAAAAGAAAGCATGCATGTTTAGTACATAGTTGAGACTAATTATGACAAAAATATAGTAAACACTGCATTTTGACAACAAGGATCAGTGGTGGACAGTAACGAAGTAGTTTTACTTCGTTACTGTACTTAAGTAGGCTACATTTTTTACATCAACTGTACTTTACTGGAGTAGTTTTATTTTATGAGTAACTTTTACTTTTACTTCACTACATTCCAAAGCATAAGATTGTACTTTTTACTTCACTACATTTCATAAAACGTATCGTTACTCCTTATAATATATCACGTGCTCCGGGACACAGAAGCGGTGTCTGAATCATGAACGAACTGATTCTTTTCAATGAACGCATTAAATCAGTTCGCAAGTCGCACCAAACGATTCATTCACGAATTGGAATGATCCGATTGCAGCTGTTCTCGAGTCGACAACTCACTGATTCAAATGATCCGTTTAGTGCGAGTCTCCAGTGAACTGAATTCACAAGTAAGAACCGGGAGAATTTGTGAGCACGAGTACGTCTGATGCTGTTAAAAGTAAGTTACTAATGTCGAATTTTAGGATTGGTTGAGAAGAAAAAAAATCATTATGAAAATCTAATTATATTTTCCTTATTATATTCATTATATTCATTATTTCCTTATTGGTTATTTTGGGAAAATCCCAGGTATTTTGAGCAGTAGGATTATAAAAAAATATATGCTAACATAAAATTAAATGATAAAAATAGCCTATATAAAACTGCAAAATAAACATTCATCTATCGGTACTTTTTACTTAAGTACATAAAAAAATCAAGTACTTTTGTACTTTCACTCGAGTAAAATTGAAAACTGAGTACTTTTACTTTTACTGGAGTAATATTTTATTATACGGATCTGTACTTTTACTCAAGTACTTGATTTGTGTACTTCGTCCACCACTGACAAGGATACTATAAACTCACCATTGGGCCGACGTCTCCATTCTCTCCTTTCTCACCTGGTGGTCCTGGCAAACCCTAGAGGAAAACAAGTTTTGCATAATAATCAGGCACAACTCCAGTTTACATAAGAGTTAACCTATTACAATTTCAAAAATGCTAAAACCTTTAGTAACAAGAGAGGATGCGTTAATGTTTCCTCTTACCCCATGAACAATGTGACAATTTAGAATAACAATCAGTCTCGCAGTGTTGAATATTAATATTATACATTTACAGCTCTGAGCCATCGGGTAAACACTATTAATCAAATAACAATTTTTGGTAATTAGCAGTAGAAGGAACCTCATGGCAATTAACACATTTGCATTTGGGTCCCTGCGAATGTGTCACACCCGGTGTCACTTTGAAAATATGAAACACAAAAAGAGGCAAAGCTTGGCAAGCAATTCATTTTGCAATATAATTGTGCTTGACTAAAGAGGTTTGAATGTTATTCAGATCATTATCACCAAACAATACCAACAGACGTCTCTCCATTGTTCATAGTCAACATCTGTAATTACAAGGCTATTCTGGGTCATTGTGTTTAGCAGACATGCTCATTGGTACCCGCTAACACATATTTTACTGCTTATTGTTGTGATAAATGTTGTGTTACTATAAAAGGACAGAAGTGATATTTCACAGCCATTTTGAGGGAAACAATTTCCCCAACTGCCAAAACAGCTTATACGTTATCTTTACAGTGGGTTTTGAAAAGATAATGAGAAGTCTCCATTCTAATAAAGTCCAATTACTTCTCTTTAGCAAGTTATTCAAAACTTGAGAGAAAACAAATTAAGATGGTTAATTTCTTTAGATCAAAAATCATTATCGCGGAGGATCAGTGAGCGGTACTAACAAGGAGACGCAGAGCACAAACAATTAGCACAGTTGGGATGAATCACTATTCCTATTACCTTTGATTACCAGTCAAATGCTCTGAGTGACTCTGTAATATTGCTGTGTTGAGTAGCTGCCTCTGTTGCCATTTGAAAATCACCCCCTCATTATTCCTATAAAGGTGAAGGGTGTAATGTTTTTTGATGTTATAATATTTTCTTAATACGCAGAGTCTTCAGAGTCACATGATCCTTCAGAAATCATTCTAATATGTTGATTTGGTGCTCAAGAAAGATTTCATATTATTATCAATGTTTAAAAACTTAACATTGCTTAATATTTTTATGGACTCATGATACATTTATTTTTTCATGATACTTTGATGAATGCAAATTTCAAAAGAACAGCTTTAATTTAAAATAGAAATCTTGTGCAACATTATAAATGTCTTTACTGTCACTTTTCATCAATGTAATGCATCCTTGGTGAATGAAAGTATTCATTTTTTACACTCATAAATAAACAAATAAATAAATAAATAAATACAAATATTCTAACCTCAAACTTTTGACTGGCAGTGTATAAGTAAACAATTCGTAAGCTGTTTTTCAGAAAAGTGGTTACCAAAATATTTCCATGTTTCAATGTTTGCAAAAATGGTTCAACCAATTGACTGAACTTGGGAAGTTGGAGTGGGACTCTGTTTGTCCGACCAATGGAAGTCAGGAAGCGTTCAAAGAATCCTTTTGAAAAGCAATTATTATTTTTGCAAATCCAATTGGTGGCGCTATTGGCACAAAGACTACAATTCTCCTTGAAAACGCCAAGTAAACTGAAAGTGACGGAATCAATCAGCCAAGTTTAGAGCAACATAATTGAATCCAGATTTTCAAAATGGCTATTGCTCTCCTTGCTCAATTATCCTGCCTTGATGATGTTTAATAGTGGAGCTTTGTGTAAATTAAATAACATGCTTGCAGCAGATCCATAATAGACGTGTTTAGATTAGTGTGAAGATGATAACTGTACCTGCAGTCCGACGGGACCGGGAAGACCTGGGAAACCACGGGGCCCCTCATCTGTAAAATCATAAGATTTCTTATTTGACTGGAAAACTACAGGGATACCTAAAAGCTTCTCTGTTTATGACAACAGATTTGCAAATGATTCTTATCACAAGTTTGGGAATATGGTCGACGTGTTGCGTTTTCAAATGCATGTTACAGTACAAGGCCATTTCGTGTTTCATGTGGGAAAATATGGTAATTTGTGTGGAAATCACATCATTGCATAGAATTAATTTGATTAAATTTTTTTAATCAAGTGACAATCCTAATAATGTATGCATATAAAGAAAGAAGGTTCAATCAAGTGACTAAGGTCTTTTAAGCAGCATTAACATCATTATGTCATCTAATAGATTTAACGTCTCGCACGTTTCCAAATTTGTAATATCCTATTCAGTAGAAAAGCCAAACAGTTTCCAAGAATGTTCTTCATATAACTGCACAGAATAGGTGTAATTATCAGCTTTTATAGAGCTAATGTATCAAGGAAACAGAGAGGCCCAGCTGGGAGTGTTCAGCTTGAGTCAAAAACTTTAAATATTCAACTGTGTGCCACCTGGCCCTGACTACTTACTCTCACTGCTGCTTTATCAACTCAGCAGGCTGCCTGACAGAGCAAAACTGAGCAAATGTGAGACACTTTTATCCAAAGCAACTTATAGTGCAACTTAACACAAGGAGCAATGAAGACCAAACAATCAAGATGGCCCAATGCAAGATATTTTTGTCCAGTTGACATAGCTGTCACTTTCCCTACCAGGCCAGCAGTTACAGTGCTCTAATGATCTGGCCACATGCAAGTGTTTTTATGCCTTGCAAACATAAACCTACATCCTTTTAACTAACAACCCAGATCACTAACCACTAATCCACAACACCCTGTGCAAAAAGAAACAATGAAGTTAGGCTAAGAAAGCTTGAGCAGTGAAGATACTTTTTATGTGTGAGTAATAAAAATGATATATTTGTGTGACAACTACTCCAGGACGAATGGAAAAAAGAGGTGATCATTTGGGTTTCATCCTATACGGCTCAAATGGAAGGTTGTAAGTACTCACAGCAGGACCTGGAGCTCCAATTACACCCTGAGGACCTACAGGACCTGGTGGACCCTACAGTAAAAGACAACCGGGACAACTTTAGACACTGGTTGTGAAGAAGCTAGATCTCATATGAACATTTGAAGTGGCAAAGATAGCATTTGTTTGTGTAAAAATAGGCATAAGTGAGTGTAAATACAGCAAAAAGGTAAACAAATATTTATAATTAACATTAAATTATACATAAAATAAATGGTAACACTTTACAATAAGGTTCAATTTAGTTAACACACACTAGTTAACATAAACTAACAATGAAAATACTTTTAAATAATTTATTAATCTTAGTTATCTTGGTCATTTCAACATTTACTAATACACTATTAAAAGCAAAAGTAGATTTTTTTTCTGTTAAAATTATGATTTGATGGACCTGAGCTAACATGAACATAAACAGTTGTATTTTTAATAATGTTAACAAATATTGATAAATACTGTAACAAATATATTATATATAAAATGTAGCAACAGTGGCATATGACTGATTTATAAGTACAAGCAAGTCAAAGCATTCAACTAATGGGACCTTATTATAAGGTGTTATAAGTGTTACCAGTTAAATATATAATAATTATTATTTTGAATGCTTTATTTATAATAAATACTGTTCAACTTACATGTTCGCCTTTGTCACCCTTGCTTCCCTTTTGACCTGGTTCTCCAACTTCTCCCTGGAGAAAAAAAAAGAAAAGTTTTTGAAAATCAAGAAACTTCAAGCTGTTTACAACTTTTCCCTAATTGCCTGGTCATCAAAATTTTCTCAAGGTCACTTCAGCATCAACAGCAGAGTAAACTTTACTCCAGAGATTTTAATTTAACAGTAAAACCAAGACCTTGGGATGTTTTTGCAATTAATTGATTACTTGGCTCCTCCAACACCATTGCCGCCACAGCCGAAAAGAATAATGTGGCTTGGGACGTGATAAGGATCTAAAAAAGCACTATTCTACATTTAACAGGGCGATAATAGATTCTGGAATACATCAGCCTCAAAGCACGTTTGTTTACTTGGTGTATGTGCCTCGATTTCACTGGTTTCAACATTTCACTACAGTAATGATTTTGTGTCTTGTTTGGTTATGGTGATGGATAAGTCAAAACTCTGTCCGCATTGTCACTAATGGTGTGCAGATGTGAGATGGGCATGATGTCTGTGAATTAAAACGTCATGCTGTAGAGATTAGAATAAAGTGCTGCACCTTGTCACCATCCTCTCCAGGTTGACCCTGAGGTCCGGCTGGGCCTGGGAGTCCAACTGGACCTTGAATGCCATCCCGGCCGGCAGGACCAGCAGGTCCTTTCTCACCCTGCATGAAGTTAAGAAATAACAGTTTACACACATGTCTGAAAGTGCTGATTAAGAAACTGTTACATCCTATGAGGAATACTTTAATCTGGTTAATACAGACAGGCAGAGCAAACAAAGCTAATGGCAGATCCACTGCAATTAATTAACAGCATTTATACATTATGCAGAGGAATATGTTCAGTATTATTATAGAACCTTTCAGTCAACTAATTTATTTCAGCTTTAACTGTGTGCTGTAAAAGTCTAAGTGAACTGAATTGAGTTTCTGTTTGGATGCTGCATTAAACTATATAAGCTATCTGTGCTAGATGTGTTTATTGAAAAGATGAATTTTAATGAACCAAAACTCTTTTCCTCTGGCCCCTTTTGTTTCCCACAGGAATCTCCAGACATTAGTGCAACGCTTAATGTATCCAAGCATCTGATAAAAGCACAGTCACTATTTTACTTTCTTTAGGGTGAATTCGGGTAAATTAGGCCATGTTTTGCTATTCATCTCAACAAAAAGTGTTTACTTGAATTCACATTATTTCTTTTTCTTATTCTTTTGGACAGTGTACAAGATAACATCGGCATTTTTATTTTATTTTTTTATCTCGAAACAATGCGCACTCACCGGAGCACCCTTCTCTCCAGCAGGTCCCGGGGGTCCTTGAGGGCCATTGCGTCCTGTTAGACCAATGGGTCCTCCGGGTCCAGCTGCTCCTCTCTCTCCTGGTGACCCCTGTGACACACACATCCCATTAAATCGGACTGGAACACAACTGGATTCCAGGAGAGATTATTAACCAAATTAGATCATTCTGATTTAAAACAAATCATATCTTGGGTTACCAAAAATTGTAAACATAATTTTGTATATACAAATGAACAATTTTCTGCAGTTCCACTAACAAACAACATTTGCTAGCAACAACAATTGCTCTTCTGTTGGGTGTGTTGATTCCATAATTTTTCTTTAATCTAATCAATTGCCATAATTTTTTTCAGGACAGTCATTTACATTGACTACTGTACAAAGAGATGTATTACAGATGTATTATAGAGATATCTGTGCAAATTTCCATTTGTATGTTATGCACCAATCAATGAAAATAATTAAAGTATAATATCTGTCTGTCTGTCTGTCTGTCTGTCTATCTATCTATCTGGTTTTTCTACTGTACAGACCGTATATTCTATTGCCCTACACCAACCCTACCCCTAAACCTACCCCTCACAGGAAACTTTGTGCTATTTCAGATTTTCAATACACTCCATTCTGTGTGATTTATATGCGTTCTGAAAAGTGGGGACATGGGGTAATGTCCTGAAAAGTCACCTTCTCCTTGTAATACCTATGTCATACCCTTGTCATTATACAAATTTATGTCCTCATTTGTCACAAAAACGCGCACACACACACACACACACACACTTTCAAATATAAATATTTATTGAATTTTATCTGTTTGATGCCATAAACATCTGTATAATATACACTGCCATTCAAAAGTTTGGGATCAGTAAGATTTTTAATGTTCTTTTTTAATGCAGTCTCTTTTATGCTCATCAAGGCTGTATTTATTTGATCAAAAGTAAAGAGAAAAACAAAAACAAACAAAGAAAAACAAACAAACAAACAAACAGCAATACTGTGAAATGTTATTGCAATTTCTAACATTGGTTTCCTATTTTAATATTCTTTAAAATATAATTTATTTCTGTGATGCAGCATTGAATTTTTATCAGCCATTACTTCAGTCTTCAGTGTCACATGATCCTATTTTGAATTAACACTGTTCTTTTTAACTTTTTATTTATCAAAGAATCTTGAAAAAATGTACCACAGGTTCCAAAATGTTTTTTTTTTTTATTAAATATTATAATGATTTCTGAAGGATCATGTGACACTGAAGACTGGAGTAATGATGCTGAAAATTCAGATTTGCTTCACAGGAATAAATAATATTTTAAAGTATATTAAAATATAAAACTGTTATTTTAAATTGCAATAATATTTCACAAAATTATTTTTTTCCTGTATTTTTGATTAAATAAATGCAGCCTTGATGAGCATAAGCAATTTCTTTAAAAAACAAAAAATCTTACAGATCCCAAACTTTTGAAAGGCACTGTATATAGTTAATTAAATATTTTAGAGCTAAACAAATTATATTTAAAGTTCCATGACTTTTCCAGGCCTGGAAATGACAGTTCCAAAATGGGAACATGTTCCCATACAGATCCTTTTTCTGCACTGAACAACACTAAGGCACATTTGTGTATCATATTAATACACTTCTTTCTTAGAGTGTATCAGCAGGTCTTACTGACAGACAAAAGTTTATGAGAGAGCGAGCTCTCTAGTTCAAAACCAACATGTAGCATGCCTTTTTCAGAAACAGTCCATTAGAGCATCTATTAGCACTGAAGTGAGCTCTCAAAGCGAGGGCTTTATTCACCATTTACTTAAAGACATCCGGTTGCTTTCACATGCATGCACATACCCACACCCACAGAAACATATGCTAAAACTCACACACAACAACATCCGACTGCATTAGCCAGCAGTGATAGTGCTTCTATACATAGGGAGGGGTCAAGGTCACTGCACACCACACCGCACTACCAATACATTCTCACTCCCAACTCGTCAAATATTGACGCTTGGTCAGGACCCTTTGGCATCACTTTTTGACACACAGGGTATTCATTTAGCATAATTTTTTAGACGTGCAGGGTCCTCCATTGCTTTAAATAAGAAACCCTTGGCATCAATATGCCGACGCGAAAGGCACTGGGAATTTTATTGTCATGATTAAATTATATATTGGGTAATAATATTGCCATTATTGCATATATGTTTGGGTGTGATAAGTCTGTGCGCAAATTCAAAAAATGCCGCCAGAGGAAGCCTTATGTCAGCCTTGGTTGTGAAATGTGTGTCTTGTGTGTCTTGTGATGATTGCGGGATCATTTTCAGTGATTAAAACCTTAAGGCTTCAGAAGACTTGGAATGCAACACGACTTGTTTGTAATGCTTTTATACTGCTTTTGAATGGTCAGTTTTTGCAATGAATACCTGTGACTGTACTTATATTTGCCTGTTACATGTTTTATATTGTTCAGAAGTGGGTAGGTTTAAGTGCTCCAATGAAAGTATACATTTATTTAAAATTATTTCAATTTTTTGCAAATGCATGCAAACCATTAAATTAAGACAAACAACTGAAAACAATGGAGTTCCCTGCACGTCGAAAAGGGACGCTAAAAAGATACCCCTGTGCATCGAAAAATTACACTAAAGGGGTACCTTGAGCGTCAAAAAGCATTGTCAAGGGGTCCTGACCTAGCGTCAATATGTGACGAGTTGGGAGTGAGAACGTGCAGGGCAGAACATTCTCTGTGCACACATCTTAATTATAATCTTCAAAAAGTTTTTTTTATATTTTTTTAAAGGTACATATACAAATAATGAAGCATGAACAGTTTCTGCTCATTTCCACAATGAACGGTCCACTGTCACCACAGACTGTGACCGTCATACATCCTACTATCAAACTGACACAACACACAGCCCTGACTCACTTCTCATCTGATATACCACCTCACAAACACACTGAGGCACACTGCACACTGTGCAAACTGACTCAGCTCTTTGTTAGAAACTTCTCAGAAGAGTTGTACTCTGCTGCCGGTGACTCAATTCAGGCACCTGCAGGAGGTCTATTTAGGCAAAGATAAGATGGCGTATTGGCGTGGGTGGGCCACTGACTCAAAATCCTTCTGATTTCAGAGATATTTCTTGCCGGGCTGTACAGATGCTTTTTATACAAGAGAGACAATGATTCCCTACACCAATCTTCCTCAAGCTGAAAAGAGCTTCACATAGCGCACAGCTGAAGCTTTGATGGTTTTAAGCTGTACTGCTGTGCCTTCACTGCACTACGAGAGAAGACAGACAGCAGTTACTTTAATGGGAGGATGTTATTTCTATGCAGAATGGAAGATCTATTTTACTCTACATTCTATATGATCACAGGGTTGTCATCATACCAAAATTTCAGGAGTCAATAGCTTTCATATCCACTTAATTCAACTATTGAACATGCTTCTTTAAATTCATAATAAAGTATTACATAAAAGTTCAAGTAAAATTTAATCTACAATATTACAGCTAATAATACTTTAACACTATACTGTATACTGTGTGTATGCACGTATATATATATATACAGTATATATACAGTATATATATATATATACAGTATATATATATATATATATATATACATGAATAAAAACCCTTGTGAAAAAATAATTATACTTATATTTATTTGAAATACATTTATTTCATGCTAAGTATACTACATTTACATATTTATGTACTTAATAAAAATACCCTTAAGTTGTACTGCAAATACTAAATTGGTATACTTAAAGTCTGCTAAATTGGAACAAATAATTTTGTACTTAATGCACTTTAATTGTGCGGAAATAGCGCTGAAGTCCAATTAAAGATACACTGAAGTATATTTGATTGTGCTAAAGTGGACAGAAACGAAGTAGTTTTACTTCGTTACTGTACTTAAGTAAATTAAAAAGTATCTGTACTTTACTGGAGTAGTTTTATTTTGAGTAACTTTTACTTTTACTTCACTACATTCCAAAGCATAAGATCGTACTTTTAACTACATTTCATAAAACTTATCGTTACTCCTTATAATATCACGTGCTCTGGGACACAGAAGCGGTGTATGATTCATGAACGAACTGATTCTTTTCAATGAACCCATTAAATCGGTTCGCAAATCGCACCAAACGATTCATTCACGAATT